TTTCAGACACTAGACGGGTTGCGCTCAGTGGGCATGAGCTTTTAACTAATACGTGCATGTGTGTGAAGCGCGCTAACGAGCGATTTATGCTTCGTAAACGGGCCGCATAATAGATGTGCTGGACCAATACGGAATCTCAATCAGGACACAGCAGACGTTATTTGGGTTACGTCTTCCACAAAATCGGGGGAGGGCGTTGATAGCACGCGCAGGTGCAGGTTCACCATCTACCAGCCACCTATGGCCTTGATGTGGCTCCAACTCAGAAGGATCAGAGTCAGGCGTGGTGGCGGCTCCGGCTGCGCCTGATACCGCCGCCGGTCTTCTTGACTTAATCATGACACCGGAAGGGTGTGCGTCCGCTACGTTTCACCCAAAACTAATTCACGCGCAAGTCACATTGATCGCCTTTAGCCGAGTAAAGTACTCAGTGGACATCGTCGGATGTGACAGTCGAACTGTCAGAGGAAGGTTTAAACAGTGTCAACCACAACGCCCAGTCTCATAACCAACCGACTTAATTCGAAGTTGCCGCTGGTATACGATGTAGGACAGAGTGTGACGATGAAGCCCGGATACTGCAATCAGTTTTGCACATGATAAACAGCAAAAAAGAACATTTGAAGTCATCCTTAATTGATGAGATAACTTAATCCTAGCGGACAACCCTCGGTATCTGACTGCGAGGACTCCTCTTAGAATGGACTTTGTGCGGAATCCGGAGGCCTGTCAATGAGACCAGTTGGTGTGCCGTTGAGGACAAACGCTCGCGTTGTACAAAAAACAAATTTGACTTTAACTTCGTTGGTACTACATCGGTGTCCACTTGGTATCAACATAGCAGGCGAGGTAGACGCCACAAAAATTTGGCTTTACAGTAAACAAGATCACGCGCACGTCGCCACTGCGGCCGCTCACTGCGACCAACCAGGAGATTTTGTCACGAAAGGAGAAACCTAACACGCGTCTAAACTAAATTGACATAAGAAAAAACTGACGCGTGCGTGTATTACTGCAAAATCACGGAATACCTTGGGTCTCCAGGCCGAGGGTCATGTTTTAATGCCTAATGTTAAAACACCCCTGACATCGGAGTCCAGGATCTAGTTCTCCGCGCTATCAATGTAATGAACAGCACTTGTGCCACA